GGCAAACATGAGTGGCATCTCCGCCGGAAACTCCAGCACCCCTGTTTCCATTAATGATGCAAAAGAGGCTTTTATGGGTATCTACACCACCTGGTCTCACCGCCTCACTTCAACAGACACTGAATGTTTTCTGTGTAAAGAGCTGTAATTCATTAGAAAATACATGAAGGGTCTGGGGAATTAGCTCAGCGGCATAAGCGCCTGCCTTGTAAAGCAGGCAGTCGTGAGTTCAATCCCCGGTACCGATAAAAAGGACAAAGACAAAAAAAAAAAAAAAAAAAAAAAAAAAGGAAAAGAAAAGAAAATACATGAGAGTTGGGCACAGTAGCACATAGCTATCCTCCTCACACTCAGAAGGTTGAGGCAAGAGGATCGCAAGCTGAAAATACACAAGACTGTCTTAAAATAAACCATACAGTTCTGGTGATGTAGCTCAGTGTAAAGGTCCTAGGCTCAATCCAAAGTACAGGGAAAACATACGCACACATGAAATGAAGGATCATTAAAAATATGAAAAGACACACAAATTCACTAGTAATCAGAAGAACTCACATGAATACAGAAGTGAAGTCTATCATTTTACTAACAGAATGGGAAGAGCTGGTAAAGAGGATGGAACTGGCTGTCCCAGAGTGAATATGGTGAGAACTCACACTGCTCCTGGCATTCTGCTGGCACTCAAGGAACACCCTGAGCGGGAAAAGATGCACGACTTTACCCACAAATGCCCATCTCAGCAGTCTCTCCTGTCTCCCTCGTGACAAAGCTAGGAATCAGTTCAACGGTCACAGAGAAGATGGCAAACCCAGTGGGTAAGGAAGTACCGCATCTACACGGGGGGATGGTATCCATCTGCTGAGAAAGACCAAGCCAGCCCCAAGAGGAACAATGCGGGAGCTCCCCTAAACAAGGCAGTAAGAGAAAAAAGCGTGCTGCAGAACACTGTTTTAAAAATAAGTGTGTGCCAGGCATGATGAAGCATGCCAGTAATCACAGCATTCAGGAGGAGAATCATTGCAAGTTCCAGACCAGCCTGGGGTACAAAGTGAGCTCAAGGCCAGTTTGAACTGCATAGTGAGACCCTGTCTCAAAAAGATAAATAAATAATAAATATGAAAGAAAAGAAGCCAGGTGTGGTGGCGCACACCTGTAATCTCAGCACTCAGGAGGCTGAGGCAGGAGGATCATTGCAAGTTCGAGACCAGCCTAGGCTACAAAGTGAGGTCAAGGCCAGCCTGAATTGTATAGTGAAACCCTGTCTCAAAAAGACAAAAAAACAGAGACTCAGATATTTGTACACCCATGTTTGTAGCAACACTGTTATAGTAGTCAAACTATTATAGAAATCCAAATATTCATCAGTGGGTAAACAAACTAGCATACACCTACAGTGGGACAGTATTTAGCCATAAAAGCAAACAAGAGCCGGGTGCAACCACATGTTCCTGTAGTCCCAGATACTCAACAATCTGAAGCAAGACTCTATCTCAAAACAAAAGCAAAAACAAAGCCCTCAAAAAGGAATGAAACTCTGACACGTGCTACTACATGGATCAGTGTTGCAAACCTTCCACTCAGTGAAATGACCCATACACAAAAAGGACTAATTCCCTAGCATACTATTAAATATGGTAACTATAGTAATCAAATTTATTAGATATCAAGCAGAACAGTGGTTTCCAGGCGCTGGGAGGAGGAAGGAGTAGGAAATTATTTAATGGGCATAGATGATCAGTTTGAGATAAGGAAAGTTTTTGAAGCTGGATGGTGGTGATTCCTGGCTTAGATATTTTTTCTTGTGATGCTGGGAAATGAACACAGGTTTTATATCCCCAAGCCTTGTCATATTTTTTATTTCAAGTCAGGGTCTCACTGAGTTGCTCAATTTCCCAGACTGAGTTGAACTTGTGATCCTGGTGCTGATACCTGCTTTAACTGAGATTTTGATGGGGTCTCTACTGAATTTATAGATGAAGCTGTAAAGAAAACTCGATAATATTTAGTTCTTCTATCATGTATGTGAATATCTCCCCATAAATACACATCTTGTTTGATGTTTTTCATCAGTTTTGTAGTTCACTTCTATAGATCTTGCTCATAATTTGTTAGAATTATAGCTAAATATTTCATGTTTTTATTCTCATTTTTGTTTTTTAATTTAAAATCCATCCATTAGGGAATAAAAATAGGGAAATAATAATAGGCTAATGTAAATGGTAGTGTCTTTTCATTTTTAATTTTAGATTGGTGGGGCTGGGGATATAGCTCAGCGGCACGGCATCTGCCTGGCAAATGCAGGGTCCTGAGTTTGATTCTCAGTACCAAAAAACAAACACAAAATAAAAATCAAAGGTAGGCCTACCAACCCTACTGAAGAGCAATTTTAATATGCAAGTGTAAATCACATCCCTTTAATTTTTTTTAGTATTGGAGATGGAACATGAGCTACAGCTCTAGCCCTTAATTTTAAATTTTAATTGTTTGTCGCTGGTATGTAAGAAAGCAATTAATTTTTGTATATCTTACAATAGGTGCTTATCAGTGCCAAGATTTTGGTGGGAAAGGGTTGGTTCTTAGGGATTTTCTTCCTCTTTCTTTCTTTCTTTCTTTTGTTTTTTTCTGGTATTTGTTTTTGATTTGGTGATCGTACAGGGGATTGAACCCAGAGCCTTTGCTACTGAGCTACATTCTCAGATCTTTTTTATTTTTTATTTTGAGACAGGATCTTAGTAAGTTCTAAATTGTCCAGCCTGGGCTTGAACTCGCAATCTTCCCGTTTCAATCTCCCAAAGTGCCGGAATACAGGTATGTAGCACTTTACCTCACTTCTTTGGGATGTCCTATGTAGATAATCATTATCATGTGTGACAAACACATGTTGTTGCTTCCTGGACTGCTCAAATCATACTTCTAGTGTGATTTGAGTAGAACTATGACAAAATATTCTCTTATTCCTAATGTTAAAGGGAAATCATTTAGTTTTTCTTCAATAAACTTTTACATCTAATATTGACTTTTTTCCTTTTTAAAGTCATTTTTGTTCTTAAAAGTAAAAAATCAAGTATACAAAAAAAGGGAAATTACCATAACTCATAATATGACATCCAAACACATTATGGTACTATATATTTTCCTATTCTTCTATATATTCTACTCTGTTTTTATTACATCATTTTTATCACACTGATTAGTACAGATTATTCAATTTACTGTCTTGATTTTTTTTCCAGTGGTCTTCCCCCCACTTTGTATTTTTAAATTTGAGACAGGGTCTCATTATGTAGTTCAGACTGGCCTTCAACTCACTATGTAGCCCCGGCTGGCCTCAAACTTGCAGTGATACTCCTGCCTCAGCCTCCCAAGTGCTGGGATGACAGGCGTGTGCCACCATGCCCAGCTTCTCGAGTAGTTTCTTATTTTAAACTTTTTTTTTTTTTTTTGCTTTTTGTGGTACTGAGGATTGAACTGAAGACCTCATGCATGCTAAGCAAGCTCTCTATCACTGAGCTATTCCTCTATCCCTACTTTAAGACTCTTATTTGTTTATGGGTTTATTTATTTGGTACTGGATATTTAACTTAGGGCCTTAGCACTGAGCTACATTCCCATCCCTTTTCGTTTTTTACTTTGGGACAAGTTTTCACTAAGTCACTAAGTTGCCCAGGCTGGTCTTCCTGCCCCAGTCTCCCAGAGTGCTGAGATTACAGTGGTACAGCACCACATCTTCGTTAAACTTTCTAAAGCTACTACATGTTCTTTTCAAATGAAGCCAAGTACCTTCAAAGAGATATTCAATGCTTTAGACAATTATTTGCTTAATGGATAGATCTTCAATTTTTTTTTTCTTTTTTCTTTTTATCGGTACCAGGGATCGAACTCACGACTGTCTGCTTGCAAGGTAGGTACTTATGCCGCTGAGCTAAATCCCCAGCCCCCTTCAAATTATTTTTAAAGTTCCTATTATAAGTAATACTACTACAAAAATACATGTAACAGTGTGGTGACACACATCTGTAATCTCAGTGACTTGTAAGGCTGAGGCAGGAGGATCGCCTGGGCTACACAGTGAGTTTGGGTCAACCTGAACTGCATAGTGAGACCCAGCCTCAAAATAAACAAGTACATGAATACATACATAGATAAGTAAATATAAATAAAATGTTTCTGGAAGCTAGGTATTCTAAATAATATTTCTTTCTCTCTTTTTTTTTCTTTTTTATCAGTACCAGAGATCGAACTCACAACCACCTGCTTGCAAGGCAGGTGCTTATGCCGCTGAGCTAAATCCCCAGCCCCTAACATTTCTTTCTCTTTATTCCATAATCATACTGCTTAAATTCTTGTGGTCTTTTATCTGAAGATAGTCTATGACTTCATAGTTTCTTTTTTTATAATTAATATCTATTGATCTTTCAAATGAACCTCAATAATTTTTTAAACTAAAATCTGAGATTAAAGGAGTTTGGTGAAAAGTGCACTTACAAATTAAATTGGAAAGTATTCAATGTTCTGTCCAGAAACTGCTGGGTTTCTTCATTCCAATCCTCTTTCAAATCTGTCAATAGTTTTATCATTTTCTTAACATAGTGCACATTTACCAAGACATCATTGAGAAATGTGATTTTTTTGGAAGTGTGAGGCCTTATGTTTCCTAGTTCATGATGAGTGAGATGTAAGATGCTTCTGATTGCATACAGGGTTAGTTCTCCTGAAATGTAAGACAATAAAGTTCCCATTCAAAACACTCTAAGAATAGGAAAGGTATACACTTTATTCAATAATGTTCAAAAGATTAGCGTGCGCACGCAAGGCCACAAGCATAATGCCATTCTTCTTCCTGGCGCGCACGGTCTGGGTGACTCAGTCGAGTCTTCCTACCCCCGGGCATTTTCATCGCCCTCGTCCGGTGCGGAGCAGGAGGAGGACGCGTCGCTGACGGCCAGAGGGCCGCCTCCCTGGAGTTACGTGGCTCTGCCGCCCCATCCCGGGGCTAGCAGCGGGCTAATCATTGACAGAGCCAAGCCCCACGCCTTAGCGAGCGAGCGAGGCGTCGATAAGAGCCGCAGCCAGGCGGCGGTGTGCAGCACGCCGGGCCCGCGCCGCCTCCGGAATGAATGGGCTTCCCCGGCGCCCGCCCGGGAGCGAAGATGTCCCGAGGGCCGCGCTGCTGCTGCTGCTGCTGCTGCTCCCCGCCGCGGCCGGGCTGTCCGGAGAGGGAAGAGCCGTCTGGTCTAGAAAGCCCAGCGCGAGCCCGGTGAACGCAAGTCAGCTGTTCCTCTATGACACCTTCCCTAAAAACTTCTTCTGGGGCGTGGGGACTGCAGCGTTTCAAGTGGAAGGGGGTTGGCAGGAGGATGGGAAAGGACCCTCCATCTGGGACCACTTCGTCCACACACGCCTGAAAAGTGTCAACAGCACTGGGGGTTCCAGTGACAGCTACACGTTTCTGCAAAAAGACCTGTCAGCTCTGGATTTTTTAGGAGTTTCTGCCTATCAGTTCTCAATTTCCTGGCCAAGGCTTTTCCCCGATGGAATGGCAGCAGTTGCCAATGCAAAGGGTGTGCAATACTACAATGCCCTTCTGGACGCTCTGGTGCTGAGAAACATCCAGCCTATAGTTACTCTGTACCACTGGGATTTGCCTTTGGCCCTGCAAGAAAAATACGGGGGGTGGAAAAATGAATCCATGATAGATATCTTCAATGACTACGCCACGTACTGTTTCCGGGCATTTGGGGACCGTGTCAAATATTGGATTACAATTCACAACCCCTATCTGGTTGCTTGGCATGGGTATGGAACAGGGATTCACGCTCCGGGAGAAAGGGGAGACATAGCAACGGTCTACACCGTGGGACACAACCTGATCAAGGTACCGTGGGTCTGGCTCCTTAGCATAGCTGCGGAATGTAGAAGGTGTTAGAAAGGAACACCAGACAATTCAGTGGTTCTCTGTATTGAAATCAGCGCAGCTAACTGTAAGCTAATTCACAACTTCTAGCCTCAATTTGTGTATTTAAAGTAGAGCACGCTTTATATCCCTAGTTGTTATTAATGTGCTAATCCAATTAGTTTCCTCCAAAGTTGTACTTTGAGATCATTTTTTTTTTTTTTTTTTTTTGTCTTTTTCCTTTTTATCGGTACTGGGGACTGAACCCACGACTGCCTGCTTGGAAGGCAGGCGCTTATGCCGCTGAGCTAAATCCCCAGCCCCTTTGAGATCATTTTTTAAAAAGTCTATAGCTATACATTAGAATGTGAGCCTATGAGTTTACTGTTATTGTATACATTTAATTGCTGGAACCCTTTTCTGACTGTCATATAGAATTACAGGGAGGCACAACCACTTCAAACGTTGCCCTTCTTGGTGGAACTTAGCTACAGTAAGAGAAACAAGTGTTAGCTGGCATGTAGTACTAGGTTCAGAAATTGAGATGAATGTACTCTATGCTTGATTTTATTTGGCAGAAAGCATGAGATGAATGGTTCTACAAGTTAAACAGTGAATATAAATCCAGAGCAAAATGTGCTCTACTAAGTATTTTCAGGCAGTGTATTTCAAAATCTAGAGCTTATTTGGTGAAGCATCAAACTTCTCAAAACAACAGTGAAAATCCAAGCCGAACAATAGCTAATATTTATGGAGTGTTTACTGTGCAGCATAGCCTACATTAGGATTTTCATGCACCTTAATATATTTGATCCTCACAATACTGTTACAAGTTGGGTCTTATGATTATTATTCCCATTTTAAAGACAAGGAGACTGAAGCTTAATACAATTAAATAATTTTCCCAAGGTTACAGAATAAAACACAGCCTCTGTGGAATGGGATTTATAAATGATAACATAATTAAATAATTTTAAAAAGTGATGTTTTATAAACTTTTGAGATACATAGCCACAGATTGAGGGTTAAGAATAGAATTATATTTACCTTTTTCAGTCAAAAAGTTTACTTATGAAAAATTATTCTTGATATCTGTTAGATTTTGAAAAGGAGGGCCAGGGATTTAGCTCAGCAGCCTAGGTGACTGCCTGGCGAGTGTGAGGTCCTGAGTTCAATCCCTGGCACCAAAAATAAATACATAAAAATAAAAGATTTTGAAAAGGAAAAAATATTAATAGCATTAATATTTACTTGCTAGAAGGAGTAATTTAAGAATCAAATGTTAAATATTATATAAAGAATGTACAGAAACATAGAAGTACTTTATTCTAACTCTTTTCTTCTATTTGTTTTTCTGGAATTTTTGTATATGTAGCTAGGACTGTGGCTTCTGTCACTTCTAACCTTGTAAAACAGATTATAATATGATTTCAAGGCCATTTTCTCATCTTTGAACAGAGTTGTATAAAGAACATATTATTAGATGTGTGAGTATACTATTTTACTAAGTAAGACCTTAAATGGGAAAAAAATTTTTAGCTATCAAGATAATGCATATGTTAGAAAAATATTAATTTTAATATTTCTAGCTCTTGTAATTATTAAAACCATCCATACTCACATAAGCTGTTTAAATCAAATCCTTGCCAAAGGTATTTTTTTCTTTCAAATCCATTTTATTTCAAGAAGAAAAAGAAAAAAAAAAGAAGAAAGAAAAAAACTAAAACAAAACTTCAAAACACATCAGTCGGGGGCAACAATGGTACACACATTCGCTGCACATTGTCAGCCTCAAATCATTCAGCCAGAGGATTCCCAAAGATATAACTAAAAAAGTTAAACCCTTCCCTCCCTCCACCTAATCCCAAGAGAAAATTACTATTAATAGTAGCTTCTCATATATTCTTTTAAAAGTTTCCTATGCAAATGCACAGTGTGTATGTGTTGATTTAACCTTTGTGTAAGAAAAAAACCTAAATTATTAACAGGTGTCAGTTACCTGGAGAAAATAGTAACAATTACAATATTCTTAAAAATAATATGTCCTAAAGATTACTTTAAAGACTTAACTGGCTATCCAATAAGAACACAAAAAAGTGTTAATTAACAAACGGGTACTGCTTCCAAATTCAGCTCATAAAATATATTTTAATGTTTTTCATTTTCCTTTAATTTAAGATAACTTCCGACTTTTACACAAAATTAGCACTGAGAGTGACAAACTTTATTATTTTAAATGTGTTTTCCAAATCATTGCTTTTATTTACTTAAAATTTCTAAAGCACCAGATTAAATAAATGGTGTGAGAGGTCCCTTGAAATCAGTCTGAAAATGAAATACACTGTGTAACCCAATGACCTTTCCACCAGAGAGAGCTCTGTCAGTGATTTGGTAGCCTGAGGTGAATTGTTTCTCCACTCATCCCCTCTGCACTTACAGAGAAAAAAGAGTTATTTGATTTTGTTGTTGTTGTTGTTGTTGTAGTGAAGTATTTTTCCTTACTGTTCCCCCTTCTGACCTCTAAAGAAACATTCTTTAGGATTATCTTTTAGTCCAAGAATGTTTATTGAGTTAAATAAACCTAACATAAACCAGGCATGGTAGTACATGCCTGTAATCCCCACACTCGGGGAGGCTGAGGCAGGATGATTGCAAATTGGAACCCAGCCTGGGCAATTGAATCACTTAACTAGACCTTATCTCAAAAGACAAAATTAACAAAAGATCTGGGGTGTAGTTCAGTGAGAAGATTCTGCTTTCAATCCCTAAAACACACACGCATGCACACACACACACATGCGCACACACACGCATGCACACACGTGCACACAAATACGCATACACTTAACATAAAACTCAATTTATAGGAGGTTATAGACTGCTCCCTAATTCTCAGACACTGAAAAAATTCCACAGTGGCTGTCAGAATCCTTTTTGTTCTGAAATGATCTCAGAAATTCTATCTCAGCTTGAATGTCCTGGTTTGGAGGGAACCTGACTGGTCTAGCAGCTGTCAGTGCTGACCAGGAATTTCCAGCCTCCTGTTTCTGTAGATCTAGTGATCACCTTCGAGCAAGTCTAAGCCTCTAGTAAAATGCTCATAATCCCACCTACTAACAGACGCTGGCTCTGACTTTTAACAGGGTCTGGAACAGAACGTGGGTACATTTTTTGGCTCTGCTATCAGCCTTTTAAATATTATCTGTAATCTTGACAGCAGCCTTTCCAGAGAACTCTAATTACCCCACGTTACAGAGGGACGTTTCTCACGGGCAGCAGCGCTTCCCGTGAAAATGTTATCGTGGCTCCTGGAGTCTTTGGATAAAGTCCCATTCTTTTCACCAACACCTGCAAAACATATACCCCATCTTTCATTTAGGCTTTGCTTCTGGTCACTGGCCCCTCTCATTGAAGATGCCACCCTTTGGCCCTCAAGTTCCCTTTCATGCGCTGCTGATTCTCATGTGTCCCTGATTCACCCTGTCACCCTCTGCACTAGCCCTGAGCCTGCTCCATCCAGCTGAACGCCCTTAGTCCTGCTTTCCCCACATCAGGCCCTTCTAAGAAGGCGACTGCCTCTACATTATTTCAGATCTCTTAGGATTAAGTCCTCTCCTTTGAGCTCCTCTGAGACTCACCGGTTTTATATAAATATTGGTAAATGAGTAGTATAGGGTTTCTCCTTTAAACTTAGTAATCAAAAAACAAACACCAGGTTTCCTGACATTATTACTAATTCTTGAAACATCAGACGGGTGTGGTGGTGCACACCTGTGATCCCAGCATTTGGGAGGCTGAGGCAGGAGGATCACCATGAGTTTTAGGGTAGCCTGCACTACGTATCTTAAAAGACAAACAAACAAAAAGAGTAGCTGAAATATTGCCTGTGCTAATCTAGACCTGCCTCAGTGACAATACTTTGGGTTGCAAATGACAGATCTAGCTCAAGATGGCTGAAGCACAAAGGAGCAACTTCCTGGCCGGGTCAGCAGAGCACAGGGCAGAAGGCACTCAGGAACCAGGACACCCCCAGGCGGCCCCTTATCTTGGCCTCTGAGTCCCTGCTTCTTGCAGGTCCGTGGCATTTTCTCTGCTGGAGAGGAAAAGTCTCTTCCTCCTAAAGTCCCATTTGACAATCCTGTGGACAGCTCAGGCCGTTTGGGCCCTCATCCCTCACACCAGCAAAGCCCCAGGGTTCCCACCAGTCAAGATGGCAAGGATACTCAATTTCACTCTTTCTAAATCAAGAAATGTGTGAAATGGTTGAAATTTGTACAGATCTCTCCTTGAACTAGAGACTTTGAGTGAACAGGGGGATGCGCCTGGGGAGACAAGCAGGTTCAGGAGACGGGAACTCGTGCAGCCTGTACCCCACCAAAGCCTGCTGGCTCCTCCAGGCTGGTGACCGCCTCATGGCTCTAACATTCCATCTTCCACAGATGCGTGCTGCCGACAGGGTTCAAGGGATTCCCAGCCTTGCCACTTTTGACTTTCATTGTTTGTTTGGGTTTTTTGAAACAAGGTCTCCCTATGTACCCCGGGCTGGCCTTGAACTCACAGCAATCCTCCTGCTTCAGCCTCCCGGTGCTGGGATTGCCACACCCAGCTGGACCTGGATAATCTGTGCCTGTGGTGGGCTGTCCTGCACTCCCAGAGCGTGGAGCAGCTTCCCTGATCTCAATTCCCTGGTGGGCTCCACCCCACCCCAGCTCTTCACCCCCTTGGCACAGCACCCCTGCTCGCAGGGCTGTGATAACAAAACATGTCTCCAGACGCTGTCTAATGTCCCGTGGTGCTCGGGTTCTTTCCCCTCTTTCCACCTCTTGAAAACCACTGACTTATATTTACCAGAGAGCGAGCTGGTTAAAGTCGTGAAGCGCAAGAACAAAAGGGAACCTGGGTATGGTCATGCACAACTGCAGTCCAAGCAGTCTAGGGGCCAGAGGCAGGAGGGTCGAAAGTTCAAGCCCAGCTTGGGCAAT